ATTGTAATTACATTTCTCCCAAACACTACTTTAAAAGGCTTAAGGTGCAGCTGGCAGAAGTCCTATAGTCTTAAGCTGCCCTCACAGATAACAGAGAAAGCCAAATTTTGCTACAAATGAGTTCAGTTCTAACTCAATTAAACTAATTGTAGACACTTTAAAGGTATTATATTACTCAAAAGTGACTCTTGTAAGCTTTAAGCCATGGAGTAATACTGTTACCTCCTCCTCAAAAACATACCTGGAGTTGTGTTTTGTTTCATTCACACATTTGAGTAATTCTTTGTTATTAGTCTGTCTACATTTCCAAAGCTCAAAATGCTCTGTTCCACTTTGTGATGTGATGAAGCGATAGTTTTCAAGTTGACAGCATTTTGCTTTTAGTTCAGTAGTAATTGAAAATTCCATTGAAATGTTCCAGTTGATTTTAGTGAAGGTGTATGGAGTTTAAAAACACAGTGGAGAACTTCCTGTATTACCACATGACATCATAAGGTGGAACACAATGTTTTCTGTTTGAGGGAAGAACTCAGCCTAAAAATGTACTGGTTGTGTGTTAAACATGAGTGAATGAAATAAAACACAACTCCAGGTATGTTTGTGATGAAGAAACAACATTATAACATCAGATAAGATCAGAAAATAGTGGAATATGGGACCTCTAACTATTTGTATGCTAATTAAGATACATGTTATGCTATCTCCTAAGGTTAAGAGGTGATTGGACAATGCATTAAGGACATGAGTGGTCTTGGATTGTAAACTGTTATAGTCCTGTAGTTTCACCCTTGGACTCTTTCCAACAGCTGACTCTGCTTTATTTTAGCCAAGTGTTTAGACTTGGCATTTTGTATCTGGACATGATGCCAGTATTATCACTCTGTGGTCACTTTATTGCCCTTTAGAGCTATAGTATTCATGGAGGGTTTGTTTTTGTATGATTTATTATTCCATGGTTTATCTGAATTGATTATTCAATCGGGCAAGATGTTTTTTTGAATAGAGGAGATGCTCGATCAGGTTAAAGATTCACATTATTATTCACTACAGATTGTGGTCACAGTTAATATAAAAATATACTGTTGCCATAATACATAACTTTCTAGATTTAAATTCTAATACTACAATGATCAATTAAATATCTATTTTTAGATAGTTAGACAATTGTAGTTTATTCTTTGAATACTCTCTTTTTATTTTTGATATAGATTGATACTGTTGAGAAAAGCAACAGTTTGGTCCTAAATTAAAGGCTTCAATACTCATTTTGATACTAGTTTTAGTATAGATTCATTCTGGATATATATTTTGGCAACTGTAAAATAACACAAAAGTGCTGGCAAATATCTCTATCACACTGATACAGAAATATGAAAATTCTGACTTGTGCACAGAAGGCACTATTTATTTCTGATAGACACATCCATAATCGATCATGTTTACTTCCTTAAAGGGATAGTTTGGATTTTTTGACATGAATCTGTATGGCATCCCCGTGAGCAGTGTCGTGCATCTACACTGACTTACCCCCGAAAGCGTCCGGTGAGCCGAGATACTGGCCGTTTTCGGACGAAAGTAGTTCGGCAAGTTGGCTGGGGACATTAAAATAAAACATTTTTCTTCTTAAAACAATATGTGTTCAAAAGAGTGATATGTTTGCATCACAAAACCATCGTCCTCTAAAAAGTCAGACCTCATAATCGCTTGGCACTATTTTCTCTCCGTTCGTATCACTGTGCGCTTCCGCCAGGTGACAGCCACGCAGGGATCCATCACTTTCTTCAGTTGGTCAGCAGTGTTTACTTGCTCAGACTGCCGCGACATGAGAGAGCTAACGTTGGAGCTAGAGCGATAAGTATATAAGCTTGTATAAGATACATAAGAATATATCTAAAAAATGGTGCGGACTCATGATTATCCAGGCTGTAACAACAAAATTCTGGCTGAATATCCACGCACATCTCAGCATTTTCCTGTCACGGACATTGTGCTGAGGCAACTTTGGCTTCTTGCCTTAGGCACCTGGTAAGAACAAAGCGGTGCCGCTATATTTACAAGCAGAGAGGCTCAAGAATCAGCAGCAAATCACTCAGTGTCATATCACTAGTGAAGCTTCTACAAAACGTAACTTTATAAGTAGACTGTTATTACTACTGTAAATGTTGGTGACACTATTGGCAGCAGCTACATGGACTTGTGGATGATTCCATGTTTCTATTAGTAGTCCATGCTTCCAGTCACAGTATAGGCTCTATGTTAGCTGTATACAAGTTTCTAAATGACGTGATGGGTGATTGCCGCTCACTCCAGCTTCAACTTGTACCACTTCTCTGTCTCTCTTCTCTCTCTCTCTGCCCGTTTTAACTCTATCTGGTGAAATTCGGCATCAGGTTCATAAAGATATCTCCTTAGCTTTGTGCTAAAGGCAAAGTCTTCTTCGTCGGAGTCATAATCACACATGTTGTCGCTAACATTACGAGCAGTAAACAAAGTGAACCAGGCGCGGCTGTCACCTGGCGGCAGCACGCAGTGATACGAACGGAGAGAAAATAGTGCCAAGCAATTATGAGGTCTGACATTCTAGAGAATGATGGTTTTGTGATGCAAACATATCACTCTTTTGAACACATATTGTTTTGAGAAGAAAAACGCTTTATTTTAATGTCCCCAGCCAACTTGCCGGACTACTTTCATCAGCACCGAAAACGGCCAGTATCTTGGCTCACCGGACGCTTTCGGGGGTAAGTCAGTGTAGATGCACGACACTGCTCACGGGGATGCCATACAGATTAATGTAAAAAAAATCCAAACTATAACTTTAAGCAATTTGCTGCATATTATTGTATTTATTATTTAATTTGTTGAGGTTTTCTTCCCACACTAGTACATTAATGTTAATCATGCAGTAGCCTTTTTGGTGCAGCTCCTCTCCTCCTGAGTCACACAAGAGCTATTCTGTACATACATCAGCCACCAGAGTCTACTGAAGCATATTTACGATGTGTGTTGGCACCAACCCCACAGATTGCAGAGAAAGCTCAAGCATCCTTCTCCTCTCTCCTGCCTATTTTGTTGATAGAATAGGTTCTGTTGCACTGAGCACTGATATTGAATCTGTGATGTAAAATGTAATTTATTAACTACTGAACTCAACTTACTTTTCTTTATGCTTTTCCCGCCACTGGTGACAGATGTCTTTATTTGCTCTCTTGCTATAAGCACAGGTTAACTTATAACATAGCACTGTGATTATAACATTAGACTATGATGTATTCACAATAACCTGATTTTGTATGGTCCAATGCCCTTCTGTGAATTGCTTAGGGCAGGGTCAGCCCTGTTTCTATGACAGCGCTTCCCTTAATCCAGGCGAGGTGGCGCCTGCCTGCCGTTCACCCTCGCTGAGCACTCAACTTGAGAAATCCTTCCCTTCTCATTGTTTTATATGACTGACTTAGGATCTTGGTAAATCAATGTCCTGCCCACAGAGGGTTGTGTCAGAATATTTTCTGTCTGTGTGCAGATGATATGTATAAAGTCTAACATGAGCAGTATGCACAAATACTCCTGTTGTGATCAGTGGTAATTTAAAGAGGAAATTACAAAACGCACAACACTCAAAAATAAAATCTGCACTTTACAACAATGTATTATATTTTTACATCTACCACACTAATTCTATGCTGATCCAAAGATTTTTTGGGACTGAAAGTTGATCTCCTTAAAATGTATACTTTCAATTAGATACACTTATTTTTATTTCTTTGGAGTGTAGAAATAATATAATAATAATGTATTAGTCTTATATAGAGCTTTTCCAACAATAGACCCAGCGATCTCATGCCCAAGTACTTAGCTTCTGAGATCTGATGAGATCAGGCTTTGACAAGGAGGTCTGGCCACATGAAAGAAAGTAAGAAACGGAGAATTGCAGAGCAGCGGAGAAGAGTGCTTTTTTAGATATTTTGACATTATGTACATTGGCAGCGTATTTACAAGAAAGGGGCAGGATAAAAGGCTTCTGTGATAGTGTAGAAAGAGAATCCTCTCAGAGAACGTGCTCACTTTTCAACAATATGTGCAAATTTGACATGAAGTCCAAGTCTGTAATTACACTCCACACTATACACTGCAACTATTGTGCCCAAGACTGCTGATGATTACATTGAACAAATCATGTGACAGCAGAATGTGTAGCTTTTATAGGAGACAGCAAAAATGGACTCCCCTATCTCTTACTAGTTGTAATTTAATCTCAGCATATTACTGACAAAACTGCATGTCTGCACTAGGGTTGGGAATCACTGGGTCCCTCAAGATATGATATGATACACTATACGTGACTCATGATATGATATTATGATATGGTACCTGCACATGATACTCTGTGATATATTGCTGTTTTTAAAGAACCAAACACATGTTAGCAACAACACTTTAGCAACAATACTTGTGCCAAGTTAATATGAAATACATCTATGTAATCAAAACAGTGTCCTGCATTTATTCCACTGAAATTGTAGTGCACCAAAAAAAAGTCACACAAATTGCTAAAAGATACCAAAAATACTCCTGCTGATATATCAGTATAGATGCCCACAATGATGATACTGTATCACCAAATTTATCCTATCAGGATATATTGATATTTTGACACTTTGCACATCCCTAGGCTGCGCATTGTATATTCCACTGCTCACATCAGCCTAAAGCCTATACAATAGGAATCAAGAATCTATGTACATACAAAGACTAGGGAATTGTTTGTTATCTCATTATAGTAGGGTAATGATCCAGAGACGCGGGAGAAATGGACTCCAGGTTGTAATAAACCTTGGCAAAGGCATTAGCAGCATAACCTTGATACAATGGCACTGAGCTCATAATCATTTAAACGTAACTGCTGGTTGGCCATATTCAAAACGGAGCACTCTTTTCAGCTACTTTGCAGTGTATATGGTTTTACATTTTTACCTCATGTTTCTCTCTTTGTTCTGCAGAGCAGTGTTGGTAGAGAACATTCCAGATGATGTCCCATTTGGAAACAACAGCACATCCCACCTGCCTCTCTCACAGGGGCTCTACAGTCTCTTGGACCAGGCACTACGAGTGGTGGAGATAGTCTCACCACTCTGGCTCCTCAACTCCTCTGATTATGAATCCAGCTTCCAGCCAGCAGCCAGACAGGTAACTAATCATACCAAACCACCAGACGGGTTGCCTGACCAACCAGTCTCTTCTACATTCTGTTTGAATCTAAACAGACTGGAACCGGACCATAGATCATGAAAAACTCCAAACCTGAGACCGTCCAACCACAGCTGCTAATTTGTAGCATGTCTCTCAAATGCAGAAGACATCTCCTCTTTAAAATTCTCTTAACAATAAAAAACAATATACAGTAACTTATTTTACCTGAGATAAGTAATAGTTTGATGCTTCCCAGGCCTATTTATTTATCTTTTTTCCCCCCGGTTTTAGCAGCGATGTTTGTCTTTGACGCAAACTGAACATACGTCTCTCTGTTTGGTTAATCCACCTTTCAATCATTCCTTCTGAAGACAAGAGGCTCTAGACTGACTTATCTTATAGAATGTGACTGCAAAGTAACAATACATGTATATATGGAATAAATCAGGTTATAGCCAGGTTTTTGCAGTGGTTAGTAAAATTTTTAAATTAGAGAAATTGCCTCTTGGTTAATCTGGTCAATCTTGTAACACATATGTACACAAGAAGTTAATAATTTAATAATGTAATGTGGTGGAGTGTCAGTGGTGCGTTAAGGCTATGTTGTGTTTGCTTTCAGAGTAGAAGGTAGCTGTTGTATAAGGCACTAGTCACAGCAATGTGGCAAACGAAGAGCATCTGTCTTAAAAGTGTCCCAAATTACCTTGTGCTTGTTTGTGCAACCCCTAACAAAATAGGGTGCATTCGACTGATAACAAACAGAATTAATTTGTTTTTTCAAATTACAAAAGTATGCTGACTGGAGTTTCTGAGTGAACTAGCCTGATTTGCTTGCCTGCAGCTTTGGCAGTCGTTGCACTCAGCCTAACAATTAAGTGCTTTTAAACAGTAGGATGTGTCAGAGGTAATGAAAGCCGTGGACCACTGATTGAAAAGTAATAGGTTCTTTGGAAGCCTCTGGGGCGGAGCAGGCTCTGTGCTCTGGGTTGTCCTGAACTGCTGCCAAAGTGGACATCAGTGCATACAACGCATACTGCCCATACTGAGTGAGAGGAGGAACAGTTACATAGTTATGTCCTCTTACAGGGTACAGTAAATGAGCCACAGATGATATTCTCAGATGAGAGGCTGAAATACATCTCCTGTACTTCAAGTCAGCACTTTTACTTTGAATAGCTGTCCGAACTTTTCCTGTCAGCTCACTAACTTTTCTTCTTTACAAAGTTAGAACAAAAACAATGTCAGATTTATCCTCAGATTGGCTCCTGTGGGTGAATCAGCAGAGATAAAGAAGAGAAAATACAAATTACAGCAGTAACATGCACTTTTACATCATCTGCACGATCCCATGGAAGTAGAAAGTTAAAACTATACTTTTTTCAGTGCTATAAAAACATTCAAATAAAAAAAAAAAAAAAAAAAAAAAAAACAACAGCATCCTTTTATTTATTATGCTACTCTTAACCACCACAGCTTGTCTCCATGTTTAAAGGTACACTGCATAACATTTCTGGTGGAGGTCTCAGCACCTACTTGTTGCCTGGAAATATTATTTCTTTGTTTAGAATGTTCCACAGTATGAAAGATGAAACCTATCTATCACGAGGCTGACAGGCAGGTTACAGCACTATGCTACATTACAGTTCAGATCTGTGGAGAGTTGCCCCCTTGTCACAGAAAGAATAATTGCATTTTTGAGCAACAGAATCACATGTAATGAATAAATGCTTGCTGAATATGTTTAATTTCATACCATGGAATATTCCAGGCAAGGCAATATCATCTCCATGGAGACAAGTAGGTGGCAGACCCTCCACCAGAAAAGTTGCCCACTGCACTATTAATGTCATATTGTGACACATTCCATAAACATAGGTGGTGGAAAAGTTACACAGCGCACCTTTATGGAGCATCCTGTTTTGTTGTTCTCTTCATGTGTATGATATTTTGCAGCAACATCACACTAGGGATGTTCTACATGTATCTCTGTTGGCAGAATATTTATCAGTAACCATGGGGGCACATTAACAATAACTACCAAAAGTTTTAAAATGAAAAAGAAAAAGAAAAAATACTAAATGGATTTAAACCACACATTTTCAGAATGATGGTGTGATCAATACGTGTGTTCATGATTCTGTTTAGGATTCTGTTTAACAAAATGGTACAATTAGCTAAACTAACTAACTAAGTCAGTTCTTTATGGTGAGAATGTGTTAAAATAAACTTAGATTAAAGTCTAACAATGCCTCAGACAGAGCAGTGCTTACAGTTAGCATCACATCTTCAGGGATTGTTGATGACATCAGCTGCAAAATATCAATATGCTTTATTTTATTTACCACTGTTACTGTATTTGTTTTAGGGCAGGGCTCTACTGTCCAGGCTTCAGGGACTCAAAGCCAAAGGCATCCAACTGAAGATCTCCAGTGGGATAACTGACTCGAGTGAGCTGATAACTCTGGACAAACATTGTGAGTGCTCCCTGTTTAGATCTGTACTGTTCATCTCTCCCCTCTTGATGTCACTGTCACAGATGCAATCTTCCTATACAGTCTATGTATCTTCAAGTGAATACATATACATTTTCCATTACACATTTGCAGATGCTGAGGTCCACTATTTGAATATGACAGCACTCACCAAGGGGCACCTTCACTCGTCCTTCTGGGTCATTGACAACAAGCACTTCTACATTGGCAGCGCAAGCATGGACTGGAGATCACTGGCCACGGTATCAGATATCTTGCTCTATGAGCTACACATGCTTAACAACAGCTCCAGAGCTATTTAATACTTGTGTGTGCTGTAAGTGAGTAAGTTAACGTTATTTATACAGCGTTTTTCCTACACGTATTGTTACAGTGTGCCTCATAATAATAAAAATTGTGACTGTACATGTGAAGGTGCAGGAATAATGTCCATCATTTTCTACTGTCATACCCTACATAAATGATTGTATTTTTCTTTGGACATTTCCCATCTACAAAGTGCACTGAGACTAAGCCTTCACATAGTTTTACATAATTAATATTTTTTAGTTAAAGTGCACTGTGTAACTTGTCTGGTCTGTCACAAGCTTGTCTCCATGACTATGTGCTTAGAATGTTCCACAGTATTGCCATAAATTTATAAATCTCCATGGAGACTTGCAAGGCAAATTACAGGTTAGATTTGTGGAGAGGAGGCCCCGCTTGCAGTAAGAATAGATGTTATTTAAGATATTTTTGAGCAGTAAAAAACACCTGTAGTTGAACAAACACTAGACAGACTACTTCAATTCCATACTGGGGACAATTTAAACCAAATGGAGACAAACAGGTTGCGGACCCCCTCCAGAAAAGTTACACAATGCATCTTTAAGATAAAACAAATGTTAAGGCGTAAGGGTCCTATTTGAGAATGTCAATAACTGGACCTCACTTCTTTTCAAATATTAATTTCTTGAGGTAAATCTTTAGATCATAGACTTACAATCACTACTCTTTTCAGTTTAAATTAGTTTTTCATTTGTGTATTACAGAGCTTATATGTAACTCTATTGGCAGTATGACTCCACTATAAAAGACAAGTACAAATGTGATAGTATCAACCCAGTAAATTGAAGCTGCAGTGTGTTGTAAAAAATACATTCAGACATGACTGGATAAAATGAAGCACAGCAAAAATGATGGGAACTCTGGCTCAAATACATGAAAGATTGAAAAGACACTTTGAAATGAGAAAGAGAGAGACCCTTTGTACCACCTCACTCCCTGCTGTTGCCGTGACGATGGATGCTTCATAAAACTGTTTGCAACAAAAAGATGAAGGATTTCCTGGAATAGAAAGTATAGGTGATGATGTGTAGTTGCCTGATGCATAGTTCAGTATTACATTGTGTTATGTTTTATGCATTGCAGTTAAGTTTATAGCCATGACCTTGTTTTGTTTTCTGTGTATAGAGAAAGGAGCTGGGTATTGTGGTGTACAACTGCAGCTGTTTGGCCTTGGATCTCCACAAAGTGTTCAGTCTGTACTGGGGACTTCAGTATAAAGACTTCATCCCTACCTTCTGGTCCAAGCGCCTCTTTGCTCTTTTCAACAGCGACCAGCCGCTGGAGCTAACTCTGAACAGCACCAAAGCTCAGGCCTATGTCTCTGTAAGTAATGATGCTTGATTGGTATTTAAGTTTAATTACCTCAAGGAAGACATCATGCTTTCTATGGTATGTATTTTTTGTACACTGTAAACTGAAAATTGACCTAAAATGGTATAATAATAGAAAGAGGTCCACGGACTTCTTTTCAAAAGGAAATTGTTGCTAATAATAGTAATAGTGACATTTCACTGTATCTATAGTGGATTTAGTTTTTTGTTTTAATACATTTTTTAACTTCACTGTATGACCTGAAGTATGGATCGTTTGAATTAGCACTGGGTTGTTGGTGAAGACAGAGGGTAGGTGAAAACTGAAATTTTCTGAGCACTCAAGCCCTAAATGCAGGATTATTTCTCAATCAATAATTCAGTCGAGCATTCAGCATCAGTCAATCTAAATACATAAGATTATGATGAGGAACACCATTATATTGGTTAAAAGCTCATAAAGCTCAAGGCGTTTTCACCTAATATACCCCCATTTACATTTTTCATTCAACTTAATTACTGTTATTTTAAGATAATTACAATGGCCTTCTCAGGATGAAGGAAATTTGCTTTGCAGTTAATGCTTTAATGCGTGCATTTATGTAATAATGAAATTAACAGTACACTTTTGTTTATGTTGCCACCTTCACTTAATAGGTATTGGAATTTATTACAAAACAAAAACCCCAATATCATATGCAGTTGATTTATACTAGTGTTCATATTTATATCAGTTCATTTTCTCTGTTCCTAAGCAAAGTTTTATGTAACAAAATAACTGTATGCAGCCCTACACTCCCTCAAGTTTTCAGGAGTTGACAACTTGGAACAGAGGAACATTATTCATACAGCGGTCCTCCTCAGGACACTGTGTCTTTGACTGTCACCGTTCCTCCAGTGATGAGTGATAGTGTTATGTGACATGTGCAAGAGCATGCTGTTCACTAGACTAGACTGTCCATCTTCCCTCATTTGATGTTAATACAAACACACATATTCTCATAGTGTAAAGTAGAGTACATTTCCTGCAGGTTGTGCTGGCCCTTACATGTATAATTTAAATTTTAGACTTCGACTTAGGCAAACTTTTTCAAAACTGATCCATGAGAGAAATGTCACATTTCACAAAATGGTAAATGGTCATAATAAAATCTAAATAAGTAGCAAAAATTGCAAGAGACGGGTGTCAAATAAGGCATAATTATGATACAGTGATTGACAGGACATAGGGTTATCTGTTATTTTATTAACTATCATGGTTAAATATAAAATACATGTTTAACAAATACTATTGTGTTGACAGACCTCTCCAGATGTTTTCATTCCCAAAGATCGCAGTAGTGACTTGGAAGCCATCAGTAAAGTCATACTGGACGCCCAGCGCTTCATATACATCTCCATCCCGGATTATCTCCCTCTCTTTGGCATGAATAGTAACAAGTAAATATATTTTTTGTTTCCTTTGGATGTATGGACACAATTTATTTATCCCTGTGTCTGCCAAGGTACTGGTCCCGTATTGATGGCTGTATTCGTGAGGCTGTACTACTGAGGAAGGTCCGTGTCCGTCTGCTGATAAGTTGTTGGGAAAATACTCATCCGCTCACATTCAACTTCGTCTGGTCTCTGAGGAGCTTGTGTATGGAGCAAGCCAACTGCTCTGTTGAAGCTGTTAGTTCACTCTATTTTCTATATGTTTTGCATTCACGAGTTACCTTATACTCAGAGGTGTAACGTAACAAAGTACTGTACTTAAGTACAAATGTTTGGTATCTGTACTTTACTTAAGTACATATGAAGTGGATACTTTTACTTTTACTTCACTACATTTGAGAGCAGGTATCTGTACTTTCTACTCCACTTTTGAACAGGACTGAAAAGTAAAAGTATTTTTCATTATGATCTGAGACCTGCTGAAAGGGCTGAAGGATTTATTTTTATTTTATTTTATTTATTCAGTTGTTTTTATTTATTTGGTGATGTTGAAGCTGTATTAGATCTTAAAATTTGTGCAAAATACTTTTACTTTTTACTCTTTAAGTACATTATGTATGGATACTTCAGTACTTTTACTTAAATAACAAAATTGAGTACTTTTTCCACCACTACCTATTCTCTGTATTCAAGTATTACTGTCTCATCCACATGTGTACCTATGTGTAGAAGTTCTTCAGACCCAGAGTGCTGAGAGATGGAAACCTGCAAGGCATAAACCACAACAGATTCATAGTGACGGACAGAGCCATTTATTTAGGTGAGTAGAAGGGGTTAGACCCTCAGCATGTTCTGGTTCAATGACAGCAAGCTTCTCCATTTTAGCAATTGTAATACAACACATAATTTCTTTTAGTTAATTTACAGGTGCACTATGTAACTTTTTGGTTTCTATGGATATGTTATCCATAGATGAAATGTTCCACAGTACGACATTAAACAGCTCTGTGTTATATTAATTAAATTATTGGTGGTTTATAGCTCAAAAATACCTAAACAAAAAAACAGGTATTCTGACTGTGTGCGGGGTCCCCTCTCAACAGATTTGACCTTTAACTTGGTCTGATTTGGTCTCCATTAAGATAGAAAGACTTAATACCATACTGTGAAATATTCCAGACAAAGCAATAACATCTCTACGGAGAAAAGCATTTGACAGACCCTCCACCAGAAATGCACATTTAAACATGGGTAAGCTAATACTGAACCTGCATTTCAATACTTCCTTTTTCAAAGTAGGTAAGTAAAAGTAAGTAAGTAAGTAAGTAAAACTGAAACAAAATGAAAAACAAATAAATAAACCAAACTTTACTTTTTTCATTTTTGATTTTAAATTTAAAACAACTTGAACGCATGATACAGTGATTTTCTTTCTGGGTACTGTGATTTTCTCCTACCAAAGACAGAATGGAGAGTTTCTATCTGAATGTCTAAAATATTAAGGGCCTGTCACTACTATATTATAAATTGCTGCCCACTGGTGACCTCACAGCTTAAAGGTGCATCCTGTAACTTTTTGGTTGGGGTCTGTCACTTTCAGATATTCCATGGTATGAAATTAAACAGATCTACCTTACATTTATTAAATTACAAGTCATTTTATTGCTCAAAAATACCTAGAATAATAGGTATTCTGTGAGTGGAGTTGCCTCTCTACAGATCTGACCAGTAATTTGGCCTGGTTTGGTCTCCATGATGATAGAAAGGTTTAATGCCATACTGTGAAACATTTCAGATGAAGCAATAACATCTCCATGGAGAAAAGTACCACCAGAAAAGTTACACAATGCACCTTTAAGTTAAAAGGTGAATAATGATTTTTATCTTGCTTTTGCTGTGTCTTTCCAGGTAATCTTGACTGGGTTGGTAATGAGTTTTCATACAATGCGGGAGCTGGTTTAGTTATTACTCAGCCAGACGATGAAGACGACAGGAACTCTACAGTCGTTGACCAACTACGAATGGCCTTTGAGCGAGACTGGTTTTCCTATCACACCCACTCACTACAAGTCAATAAAATCCCTATTTGTAACAAGGAGCGGATAAACAGGATGGCCCCAGTTAAATCATCACATTATGACAATATCAATGTCGAGAAGCCTGCGCCCATTAGAAAAAAGGAGGAGGGATTTTTAACAAGACACTACGATGACAAATTTCAAAAGAATACTCACCAAGACGCAACAGGTGGACTTGTTATTGAGAATTACCAAGAACGAGGACAAGTCAAAACCAGTCACCATGACAACAAGAAACTACACATGAATGTCAATGACCAGGACAGTGAAGGAGACACTGCCAGTCAGACAGCAGAAAGCAGCGGCAGCAGGGAGATCTGTAACCCGCCCCTGTGACCATAAGATCAGATTGGTCGCTCTTCCTTTACACTGAAATAGATTTGGACAAGCTCTTTGTAGCATTTTCTTATGAATGTTTTATATATTGAAAAAAAAAAAAAAAAATGCACCGCTTTGACATATGTCTTCAGATAATATATGATGTTCTTGAGGAGATCTCAGGTAGGATTACAATATCTCCTCTGGATTTAAGCACTTTTAATGGACAGTTATAAACTTACATATGTTTTTTCTTCAACAAACTTGCTATTTATTGTATATAAAGTTGTCACAATGAACAGTAGCCTAATTACAATAATTACTTTGTTACAGTTAGGGATGTCATGATATCTCATGTTTTACAATTTATCCTGAGAACTAACTTCACAATTAAACTATTATTCTCTATAATAATCTCACCACAACCAAATAGTGAAATTCGTATTATCTTTCACTCCAAAGTCTAATACATTGCTGTTCCTCATGTATGTGACATAAACATTAAGATAAAAGAAGTAAGGTTTACTTAAAAAAAAAAAAATTGCTCTATTTTAAAAACAATTGTTATCAAATTAATTACAAAAACTAAAAATATTTGACATCTCTAATTACAATAATAGCTATAGATCTTTAAAAAAGAAGCATGTCTGTGTACATTCTATAAGATCTAAATTAGATCAATGACTTCCAGTTGTTTCATTCTGTATACTGGCTCAAATGGCCTTTCTGTCAGTTCACTTTATATATTGTGGATGGCATTAGAGAGGTGGTTTACAATCATTGATCCAATAGATTACCACTGGTCTCACCACTAACTGTGGATCTGAGGTATGAGTTTAGCTAAAGGTCATACCTTTTTCTGTACCTTCTGTTTGTACTTAAATTGATAAGGGGCTCTTGTAAATAGTTCAAATATAAATCCCAAAACTTGATATATTTTACAGCCCGATACATTACTTGACATCGTTCTTCACATAGCCCTGTTCTTACACCACATTCTCTGTTGTTGTAGTTTTGATTATTACAATTCCAACAGTTTAACTTCTATACTTTCTGTGCTACTGTATTCCAAAGAGGTACATATACTGTACCTGAAACATGCACACAATTTGCTACTGTATTTTATGTTAATTTGTGTTTTATGTGTCTTGTATATTTTTATGTGTGTTTTATATTTTTTACATATTAAGCCATCAGCATAGATGTTCTATAGCTTATTGCAAATATAATGCTACTTTAAAAACTGATAAAGATATTGACCCTTAAAATGAAATAAAAATTATAAAAATAATAGATAAAAGATATATGATTGCTATAATTGAACAAATATAATTTTATGACCTATTGAACAAATTAGGTCCAAAGGCCTGGGGTCTGCTGAGAGCCAAATCAATACAATGAATTTTTAACAGGCTGACGCTAACTGAATTTCAACCTCTTGTACATGGCTTATACCACCTTTAATTATTAAAACAATATTTAAAAAATAAAATTTAGATTATGGTGTCTTTTATGTCTATTTACATAGGGGGAAATAGATAGGCAGGGACATGAAAGCTTTCCAGTTCAGTTCTTAAAATACAGCACAAAAAAGTATGAACAAATGTATTTCATAAACAGTTGGTTTTAAGGATGAAAATGTGACCTATCTCATTTTTATATGTGGATTTTTTTTAACTACAAGCTCTGGCAGAATACTGCCATCTTGTGGAAGTCAAAGTCACATTTCTGCAGGGGCTCCAAATACTGCGAAATGATTTTCCTGTTGTAGTGTTTTATTTTGTGTGTTCAGCCACGTCAACATTGCCCTTGCCATTTTATTCTAAATGTTTATTGTGTGTTTAGGAATTGTATGTTGTATGTACTGCTGCAAAGAAGATGTAAATGGAATTGTCTGGGGTTACATTTTTGACAATCAGGGTTTTTTTTTTTACAATTCTTTGGCCCCTGTTCTGAGGTGACTATTGAGACAGAGAGTCGCTAATGTAAAATATAAACCAAGTTATGTTCCTGAGTGTTGCACTAAATGTATATGCTTTTACATGTCGCTGACCTTTTATGGCATGACAGCTGCTTGCATGCCTTGCCTAAGCACTGCAGTTTGCGCCTTTTCAGAGATTACAACAATATATACCTTTATGAATTCAAAGGGAATGTATCTTACTTAATACATTGATAATGCGCACATTTGAAATATAAATACGTTTTTACTATTAATAAAAATATGTATCCTGTTTGTGTTGTAAATTTGTGATCTTATAGTACTGACTTCTGATGACAACTTGAAATTGTAATTGCAATATTGAAACTATAAAAAGCCAAAACATTGTGTGTTTTTATGCATAGACACAAGCATACAGTTTTAAATGTTGCTGTTTGATGTTACTGTACACATAGACTGTGTGACGGTGCCGGGCCCCTTACGCCGCTCCACGCTACAGCCCTGATAGGCTGACGTAACGGTATCCATGGTAACCGATTATGCGTGCTCTCGTTAAACTCCTGAGTGCGCACTTTTGACCGATCAGCTATTGTCCTCGAAAAGACTTTGGGCCACAGACACTAACTATGGACTAACTACTCTGTGCGGACGAATCAGGAGTGATTTTACATATTTGTGCAAGATGAGGCGTCGCGCTCGGACAAGACTGGACACGACGGATTGAAAAACACGGCCGTGTGGGCGCTGTTGTTGTTATCCTCCAGCAGCCAACATGGCTGAGGATGACAGCGAGTGGGTTTTGGAGAGCATCGTCGGCTACCTGGGAAGCCCCGAGTGGGTCATTCCTGTCACTGACTTTATGGAAAACAAATGCACAGGTAAACAAAGGCCGTGGCTCATTCATACATAAATGTGACGTGGCTTTACCTACTCTGGAGAAGTTGGGGGCATTTAGCTTCTTGGCTAACTATGCTAACAGGGTCTTGCATTGATGTGAAAAGCAAATGGTTAAAAACTGTTTTGGAGTTGCGTATTTGAAACATATAGCTACATTTATTAGTATGAATTTAAAAAGATAACTACGGTGAATATGGACACACTAATGTTTGAAATACGCATGTCAACATACCTTATTTTATGTATATATTTTCAGTTTTTGATGACGAAGAAGAAAATAAATTGTCATACACTGAAATCCATCAGCAATATAAAAACCTTGTAAGTACTTCATTTATTACACTGATGACTGAAATTTCATTGTACATTTTATGTACATTTTGTAATACTTCTTTTTGGGTACTTGTGTGGATTTTGCCTTTGTAGGTGGAGAAGTTGTTAGAGAATTATATGCAGGAAGTAGGAATTAATGAACAGCAGTTTTTGGATGCATGTACCTCCCCATTTGCCAAGTCCAAAACTTTGCAGGTATAGTAAGCATTTTGTTCTCCATCCTGCCCATTCAGACCTGAATGCACAAACTGCTTTACAAAACTTTAGCTTTAGCTTTAGTAAATGTTTACAACAGTTTTTCTTCTGTTTCATAAAGTTCTGTTATGCAATAACTATTTCCGATACATTATTTACAGTAAAAGCATTGGCTTTATGGAAAATTATTCTAATGAAGAAAAATATAGACCAAACCGACTGAGGGTGTATCCAAAATGGTGCAAAGAATGTTGCTTAGACTCCATTAAGTGACATTATTTTATGCATCTAAAATAAATTTGCAGACCCTGTCCTGTTTTTCTAATTAATCTTCAGCTGTAACCTTATATAAATTGTTGAAAAACTGTATAAATTGTTAAAAAGAAATGCAGTAAAATTAAAATTTTAATTTTGTTCTTTACAGATAGTGTTTCAACCTGTTTTGGCAACTGATGACTTCCAGATGTTCCGATCACTTATGGTGCAGAAAAACATGGAACTTCAGCTCCAGGCTCTGAGGGTTATGAAGGAGAGGAATGGTACGTTTGATAAACACACATAGTCAGACTCTATAAGTAAAAAGAATAAGGCTCAGTCTGGTGTCTGTGCACAGGGGAGCTTCCTGAATGTCTGACACATGGGGCAGATGTGATGAGTGAACTGCAGCAGCAGGAGATGAAGATTCTTCACCAGGTTCTACAGTATGTGCCATTTTAATAAATCACAACAAATCTGTAGAAAATGCTCAAATAATTGAAAAAGTGTTGTTTTAACTAATGTAGTTTGTACTGTTCTCTATTACATCGTAACTGTAATATAATTATGCAAAGGTTTTACATTTCTGTCATTTTACTTTAATATTTACTGGATTGACTCTTTGTGACGGTTGATGATGTTACACTGTAGTCTGTTTGTTCAAAGTGTTAGCTTTTACCTGCTTGGTGCTCAGTGCTTCTGCCTGTGTCCGGCCTCACTTCTCAAAGCTGCGGCTGCTTGTTCTATGTAATGGGATTTGGTTTGCAGCAGCAGAACACACTGAGTCTAATGGGACCGCATGTAAGCTTCTTAGGGTTCAGCTAATTTAGGCTGGAGGGGAATGACACTGAGCAAGCAACTGAGAAAAATAGTATTTTGATCCCCTTTGTCTTACCCAGGTAACTTGGCAGCTAATCAGCCAATCAGATTTAGGCTAGTTCAATTTCCTGTTCTAACACAAGCATAGTCAGTTTATAAACAGAGAAAGCTTCATTATGTGCTTTACAAAGTATACAAAGATGTCTTAAAATGTATTTCTACCTTAGAGCAAAAGTTAATGTTTTGTGTATGTCTTTGCCATAAATGTAGTTTAAGTGAATAAGTCAAGTAAAGGGATCTGAGCGTAGCACCCTTGCAATAGATGGCAAAACACGACACAAGATCTTATTGGCTAATACTTACTTTTCATTAGGCACTTGTTTAAAGAGTGTTTGCCATCTGTAAGTAATATGAACTACAAAATTTGACTGTCACATGGATCTCTTATAAAATCTCTATCTTCAGGAAGTCAAAGGAGGAGTATGAGGAGGAGATGTCCTTTAGGATGCTGTTAGATGAAGAGAATGGTTCCACATCCAGCAGCAGCTCAGATAAACCACCGAGAGAGAGCAGTGAAGTAAAGGAGGCCTCCACTTCCAGCCAACAAGAAACTTCTGCCAAGGTAAGTCTAGGCACTGTGCCCCAGTAGACTACTTAAATTTGATTTATATCCCGTTATCTACTCTATTGCTTCCCGTTTTAGCTAAACAATAATATATTGTTATTCCTAGTGCTAGTGTTCCTTTTGTAGTTATTATTTGTTTTTGTTTTAATACAAATGCCTAAGTTCTAAATGTGTTATTAATTTTACAAAGGAAAAGGTTGAAGAGACTGACTTTGGCACTAATGGTCACTTAAACCCAGCAGTGAATGGAAACACTTCCTCTGAATCTAGTCTGGTAAAGTAACTGTAGAATTATGTAGAGTAAAAAAATACATTGTAGTCTAAATATAGATAAATGTTAGTTTATTTTATTTAGATCCACATGAGCTTCTGCAGGGTCCTGCATCAGCTACTCTTCTTTTATGTTGTTACTTTCCTTTAGTAATGGTGTTTTGAAAATAAGTTGTAATACTTTCAAGACATCATCAAACATCTGTCAAGTCCACACCTGCTTGCTTAGTTACTTAGCACTAGCACATCCTGGTGGTGTTTAAATATCATGTCATGCTGATCTTTACACAGGTCAGTAGCAGAACGGTCTCATTTGAGGACAGCAAAATGGCAGGTCAAGAAACAGCAGCAGAGATGTCTTCATCAAAGCACACTTTAGGTAACACACTTCACACAAGCAGACCCCCAGCACTATATCCAAGTGTAACTGTAATATTGGCATCAATTTTATAATCAATTTTAAATTTTAATTTTAATAAAATGTTGTCATGGTTTGCTGCTAATTACAATATACTTACATTTTTATCTTCTCTTAAATGCAGGATCTACAAATGGTGTGGATCCAATTGTCCTTCCAGCAGTAAGGCCACCAGTGAAGTCCAGTGCATGCCCAGCCAGTGTCAGTCCCACCTCCAAGGAGTTGGAAGAGGTGCGGTTGGAGGCTGGTCTCTCTAAGCCATATACTGTAAGTCCAGTCTGTTTTCCTAAGGCACCATAATGTAATGTCTATTAATGCTTTTATAAAATTATGTTTTAACTATATCCATGTATCTCTAAATGCAAAAGTCCCACAGTTTGGGTGTGTGTGTGTGTTGCCATATTTACACAGGAGCTGCCAGAGTCAGAGCAGGAACAGCTTCAGCAAAGAGCCACATATCTCCGTCAACAGAGAGACAAACTCCATGCTCTGAAAAAGGAGCAGCAGAAAAACAGACACAGTCCACCAGAGGAGGTGCCATCGAGCCCAACAGCAGCACCCACTGCTCCGGTATTATACATCTCTTCAGTTTTTGCTCCTTCACACGCTCTTAGCCTGACCAGTCAGTTTATAAATACTCTTTTTGTCATAGCATCTTTAACATTCATTGCCAATTTTATAACAGCTAACTTTGCTAATTTGTTATATCTACAACTGTATCAGTACTTTTCAGCCTTGGTAGTTACTGCATTTTGTCAATGTCATCCTATGATATTTGCCATCAAGTCACTTTTGTTTTAACATCTAACTTTTTCCCCATTACTTCATTGTCATTCTTGCTGGTCAGGAGGCAAAGGGGCAGTCCCAGATGAATGGGAATTGTTCTCCTCAAACTACTCACTCTGTTAAATCATCCAAACCAAAGGTGATCCATGTATTTGGTAACTGTAGGGAGTGCTTTATTTTCATTGATGTAGAGCTTTGTAGAGTAGCCAACCCTTGTGCGAGGTTTCTGGCTTTTTCTTTTTGGTCATTGTGTCTCAATGTAATCAATGTAATTCTGGACAAATGTGGGCATCTCACTTATTATGCCTCCATCAAAACAAAACATTCCAATTTTGCTTATGTGGATTTTAAAAAGCACTTGAAAATGCAAAACTATTTAATTTACCCTAACCCTAAGGTTTTTGAGGAACCAATCAAACTAATAAGACCACCAAAAGTCCATATCTGCACTAAAATGTGGTTTTGATGTTGCACCATGCAAGTTATAGACCCAAAAATATAACTGGGAGGTTCCCGTGGGTGGTCTGTGAAAATGGGTTGAACCTCAAGCTACAAAACAAGTCTAGAGTCCATATAGTTTAAACTACAGCTCAGTGACTAGAAGACTGAATCTGCCCGAGAACAACAAAGGCCAGTGCTCTTCGACAAGCAAAGAAAGCACATTGTATTTAAATGGCAGAGTTTAATGTTCAACTTTGAAAACAAAAAATAACCTTACACCTATCAACCATAACCAGTTCCTGCTGCTGCATCTATCACTGTTTATTACTGATGTGCCATTTGTCTTTAAACAGGAGATCTCTGCAGAGGAGAAAAAGAGGCTACAGAAACGAAAACACCTAGCGGAAAAGTTGAAAGAAGAGGTAATCAAAAAATAATGACCTTACTGCAATATTTAACAATCAAGTATCCTCCAGCCGTCCTCCACTGTAAAGTCACACAAGGCTTCCTGTACACCACCAACTCCTGACATTTTGTGGACACAAATACTGTAAATCTTCTAATAAATCTTCACAATGCAAAGGTGCAAGTAATCATTGCACTGCACATGCCACATGGAGTATTTTGGACTGATCTATAAGTGCATTACCTGGTAGAACATGGATGTCACCAGATGAGAAGCCGAAGCACCAAGTAAATACCACATTCCTCATACTTTTAGATTTATGCATCATGACATTTGCAGTTTCTTATAATGCACATTTGTTTTGTTAAGTCGTCCAATTGCAGTTTTTCTTTTGTTATGCAGTAAAGTGTCAACTTTTGTAGTAATGTCTTTTTGTGTGCATCTTGGCTGAAAAACGTCTTTTGCATATTAGTGTTGAAAAAGTTTTGGTGGGAACAAAAATTCACTTTAATCATCTCAGTATCTGTAATACTGTGTACACTGAGTGGCATATACTGTTGAATAAATTATTTTATATTAACTATGACTTTGTTTGTTGGATTGAGTAAACCACAATAAAATGTCTTTACAAGTTAATTATGTTGTAGTATTTGCTGTAATTTTATTGTTATGTAAGCAACATCTTAAACCTGCCATCTGTAAGTTAAGTTTGATTTTTTTTTTACCAGTACCAGTAGTAATTACAGATGGAGTAGATATAAAGTTCACCACTTTTATGGTGGGGTGTCCGACACCCACTTGTCTCCATCCATGGAGATGTTATAAAATTGCCTGGAATGTTACAAACTATGGCAACTTTTCTAGCATTTATTCAACAATTTCAAAGTATAAAAATGGAAAACCTGTAACTTGGCCAGGTAATAACACGTTTTCTTCCATTGAGAAAAGCTTGACATACCGTGGAACATTCCAAGAAAAGTACTACATAGTTTTCCTTAACATAACTTTTTCCGAGTTAAACTCTTGTCTTATTTGGTTGAAAGCTATTTACTTCAGTATTCTGATTAGAAAAAAGAAAAAGTAATTTCCAAGTGTTTGGCTGCAAAAATGTACTTTACTGCAGTTAGTCATTTTAAAACCAGCAATTGCAATTCCTCTGCATTTTACATTGAATCAAATGAACTCTGAAAGGGTGAAATTAGTGACCACACCTTGTGTGTAACAACAAAAAAGACACACGTAGGCAGCTTGTCCCCCTCTCAAACCAGGTCAGGAGAAATTATTATAAAGAAAAAAATCTGTACAATAATTTTAACAAAGTGAAATTTCTGGCCAACATAGTCCTGTGAGATGTGGTTTATCGCCCGACTAAAACAACTGTTAGAAGTCCTGCTAACTTAAAACAAGGCCTCGTGTCTTCTGGCTCAACAAGCCTTTTGGTGTCCTCCCATGCCTGAATTATTCTGTCAACTACCGCTTCAACCAGTCAAGCTTTCTACATCTTTTGGCTAGTCCTGCTAGCCTGACTGGCTCTGAGCACAATTCATTCACTGGTTGTTTGTCTGGCTTACTCAGCCTATTAAAGTCATCCGTTCCATCAGGTTTGAGGGGGTCTACAGGACTTGAAATGAAGACAAGATGCTGCAGGTCCACATCAGGTTGACTGCTGTTGCTATAGCAACAAACAGAGCAGTGCGTGGGACCGCCTTGGCACTGGAGTTTCACTGCAACCTCTGGTCTGAAGTAGGTGGTTTGAGGAGCAAATAATGAATGATAAAAACCCAAAGGCAACATCATGACGGAGGCTGATACAATTAGCCAAAGGTCAATAAAACATGTTGCTGAAACAAGGGTCTTGATCCTTGATTATTGAGTGAAGAAAATCAAATCCTTTCTCCAGATAACTGCTGATCTCCATTTCCAACTACAGTGAGTTCAGACAAGGGCAAACCAGAGATAGTGTCTTTCCCCAACTACAGAAACTGCCAGAGAACACAGGCTGGTCCAGGACCATAGGTTTGGGAGAGACATTGTGTCCATCCAACATCACTGCACAGAAGTCAATAGTTTAGGAGCTGAGACGCGGCCTCTTCCTCACAGACTGTTCTTCCTCCTCTTCTTCATCCTCATCATCTTCATCATCTGGATAGTCTACCAATCCAACCATTGCCGTCTAATAGGAAAATAAAGCGAGAGATTAATTTAAACGCATTTAAAGGATTCACAGTTGTCCCTGTACAATTCGGATGGAAAGGTGAATTGCTGACACAGACCTTGACGACTGGTGAAGCAGGAAGGGCCACAGTCTTGACTGTGGATGTTGAACTGCTCACACTGACGGCTGCAGAAGAAGGGGGAATCGCAGCAGATTTCCCGTTGTTGTTGGCACTGTTGGCTCCATTGGCAGCTCCTACAGGTGTCAGAAACACATTTATTGGCTACATAGGTAGCAAAAACCAATCAGTAAATCAATTTCTGGAGATGCAATTTACCTTTCTTGGCCTCCATGTACTTGCCGTAGCTGTCAGAGAAATCCTCTTCCATGCGGCCTTTATCCACTGTTTCACCATCTTCATCATCTTCATCGTCATTAAACCACAACTCCTCATCTTCATCCAGTGACCTTGGATCCCGGCGATATCTAGTCATTACAAGAAAAAGTATTAAATACATTTTGTGCATCAATTTCTCCCTCAAATATTGATTACAAACCTGTTGAGCCTCTGGCTTTGCCTGTCCTTCTCCTGCTCATACCGCCCTTTCAGGCCCTTAAAAGTTTGAACGTACTCAATGGATTCAAGTGCTTTGTAGAAGTTATCCACAATGTGAGCAATCAGAGACTTAATGTCCTCCTATTAAAAAGACCAGTGTTAAGCATTAGGAAGAACTGCATAATTATATAAGCAAAAATGGCTGTTTGAACATACCACTTTAATAAACTCAAAAAGCTCAATGATGGCAGAGTTAAGCAGGTTGTATCGAGTACCATTGTCCAGTAGGGCATTTATGACAGGTTCAAACAGATTCCCTTTAATGATGTAGCGGTTGTAATACTCATCCTTGAGGCCAATGATCCTGCGCATAAAACGCAGCGCACCTGGGGATGGAAAACAGCTTTACAACACTTGGGGGAAAAAAATCTCACTTTTTAAATACATGAGTATGTCATGTGCCTGGACTTACAAAGCGCTAGGAAAGTATGTTTTGAGTTCATGAGCACCAAAACTCTCCTGAGCAGATCTTTATTCATGATGTATGTCTTGATGTGATATGTGTGGTGCTCCACACAGAAGGTCAGGAGCTCCAAGATGAGAGCTAGCAACTGGGCTGTCTGGAAGTTATCTTCTCACAACAAAGAAACATAACATTGACCAAACTGCAATGAAATAATAAACTCTACCAATACCAAACAAAAAAAACAAAAAACAAAAACATACTCACCTGGACAGACTGGGTTCATTTTAGTTGTGCCATCTTGTAGATCTGAAATCACATACAATGAAAATACATAAACTAGTGGTGTGCATTACTATATATTGTACGTATTCTGTGTATTACTATATAATTACTCTAGTTTATATTACTATAGTTACTCTTACAATACCTTTTGAGTTTTTGTCATGTGCTGTATTCGCCAGAAGGGGAGCAGTCAATACATGCATGCAGTATTTGTAGAAGAAACTCAAGAACTCAGTCTTCTCAGTTTTCTATTGGGAAATATAACATTAGAATCAGGCCAACAGAATAAACTCGAACATGAGCAATAGATGTGTGTGCCCGTACATTTGTGGAGGCCAGCATGTTCTCAGGGTCAATGAGTGTCCTGAGCAAACCCATCAGCTGAACAGCACCTCCTAACTCTGGATCAGAGTCACAAATCATCTGCTTGATTACTACATTTATTAAAAGCACATCCTGGGAAAAGAAACAATACCTTAAGTGGCTAGTTCAAGACTAAATTTAAGATTTTATAACAATAACAACTCACGTCATCCGTTTGTTGAGGTTCCTGCATTACAAACTCCCTGACCATGGAGGGGCTGAATTCAACAAGGTAGGAGAAAATGTCTGTCGCTGCTGCTCTCACCTGCAGATCATCCATTCCCTGTTAACAACCAAAAGAGAAATTTAACACACACACAATTTTTTTTTTTATATTATATATTTATATATAGATAGAGATATAGATAGATACACATACATACTTACATATATATACATATATACATACACACACACACACACATATATACACACACACAGGTTTACAAAAGAGACTGCTTGCAAAGAAAAAACTGACCATCACAATCTCAAGAGCAGGTAAAATTCCAAGGTTTGCCAGTGTTTTAAAGAAAGCATCTCTGTTCTGGGGTTGCAGTGTTTGTGAAAAAGCACAGAATTCCTTCACAAAATTGACCTGAGAAGAGAAAACGTTTAACATTAATATGCCCTTTTAATAAAAAATTAAGTAAAAAAAAATAAATAAATTTCGCTTTCATAAAAAAAAACAAAAAAAAACAGTTAACAGTTTAATGACTAGTCTCCGTCACAGTGAAATTAGACACATGAACTTCACAATGAAAACATTTTCACTTACAAGTTCTCTTCTTTTACCGTCTTCGGTAGCTTCATCAGTTAACTGGGCAAAGACTTCTGTTAAAAACTTCTCATCCTCCTTTGGAAAAATGTCAACATAAAAGACAAAAATTACAAACTATTTAAACTATCAACTATAAAACATCAGTTACTCAAAACTACAAAGCACTATGAAGCCAAACATTATGAATGATGTTTATTACAGTAGGCATACCTGCAACATGCTCACAATCTCCACCTTGTTGAAGAAGATGAAGGAAGTGAGGGTAGAGAGAAAGTTTTCTTCAAAAACAGAGGGTGTGGGTAGGATGATGTCCTGGATGTACTGCACCCGGTAGGTCTGATGGATCTTTTGTCGGAGTTCAGAGTCTGTGATAGGGATCACCTCTTTAAACTTTGCCGTCTTGGTCAAGAACTCCCTGTGGCGTTTTGGCTGTACAAGTGCTGGGTCATACTCAAGGCAGCCCACCACATCCATAATACAGTCATCGGAGAACATCACTTCAAACAGTGCAGCTTTATTGAGAAACAACACTCCCCTGACAATTTCATACAGGTGGTGAAGGCCTTCCCTGTTGTCCAGATCCTCACAAACACGGAAAAGCCCAAGCAGCTTCTTTATGTAGCCTTCAGTCATCAAAGCTAGGGCCAGTTTCTCTCTCCTAATTGGTGATGAAAGAACTGAAGTGACCAGGTCAGCGATCTCTTCCAGTCGGCCCAACTCACAGGGAGGGAGCTCCACCAGGTGGCTGGTCTCAGGGATCTCATCAAAGCGCTCCTCTTCAGATTCATCGATTGGGTCCTGTGTAATATCCAGGGCTGGGTCTTTGCCCTGTACCTAGTCAAAGTAGGAGACAAAAAAGTTGTGAGAACATTAAATGTTTTTGTTTTTTTCACAAGGAAAACAAAATTACCTGGCATATTTTCTCCCAAATCTCATCACAGCCTGCTTTTTCTTGGAAGCTAAGGGCAAGGTCATAGTTGTCTGCTTCTGACCACACAATCAGGGTGTCCTTAAGACAACAAAAAGAAAAATATAAAAAACTAGCAACTGTACATATAAACAACTACATTGTTAGGTTTAGTTAAAAAATATTGTACAATTTTCATTATATATTTAACAATATTTAATCTACTGCGCACACATTTTTGGAGAAAAGGAAAGTAACCCCAAAAATGATAACTGACAGCCACTCAACACACATTCATGAATAGTTTAATAAACAAATTCTCTCAAAACTCTTACCTGTTGTTTCTGGTAAGCTGTGTTGGGACTTATTTTGGACTCCAGCAGAAGTGAACCTAGAAACAAACAAGTGATACAAGTGGTTGAATAGCGCCTCAACTAATTTACATAGAAACTGTAAGGAGAGGTTAAACGTGGGCCATGAAGCAGTCGGGCCATATGTGGTAGTTACGTGGTGGTGAGATGTGGGTTCATAATTTTAGAAAAATGCAAAGACACTTTATGTAGTTGAAGCCGTTTTGTACATTTAAGACTTTGGGGCGCCATGCTACACGAAAACACTGCATGATGAAACAGGAAAACAAACAGACACGGTAACTATTAACTACGACACAATAAAAACAGCACTCAGTTTACAGCGCATGAGGTTCAAAAGATCATGACCTATGGCAACATAATAATCTATAACTGGCTTCTGCTCAGCCAGCAATCGTCAAGCTAAGCTAAACTAGCACACGTAAAGCTAAGCGTGTACAAATGTGGCTACGTGCTAAGCTACCAACTCACCGTCAGATTCCGCTCGAACCAATAATGAGATTCCTTTTAGTCGTTCTACAAAAGTCGAAGAAACGTGTCCAGTCCCTCGATCGTCCCACTGACGGTCTTCGTTTAGCGTATATACTTTTACTCTCCGCCGAGTGTCCGACATGGCTAACCGTGTGGCAGCTAGCACACTAGCTGGCTGCTAACTAGCTAACACCGTTCGCCTCACTGTTTTCTATCCTCGACTTGTTAACTTTGTTTCCACCTGCATGTTAATACATGCACGTCTGGAAAATGTGGAATATACAAAGCTGTTTATGAAACTATTTTATAAAGCCATAACATTTAAAAACAACGATAACGGGAGACGTAAAACGAAATGTAAAAATCAAAGAACACAACAACTCCAGCGGCCTGTACGCTAGCGTCCACAACCCGCCATCTTGTATCCCGTCTGTGTTCTTTTCTTCTTCGACGTCAATCACGCGCACACAGCCGCGGGTCTCCACCTCCGAGCGACACCACGAGCTACACGAGCCAATGGACGTGCTGCTTTTCTGTGACCTGCAGCCTACCTGCACTGGCTATTATCAGCGCCACCAAGCGGACTATTCGCCAACCTTTCTCTTTCATGCTGCATGAAAGCAAATACATTTGAGAAGTTAAAAAAACACATTGTCTAGTGCACCTTTGCATTTGGAATCTATAGACTTAAACTTGTTGGTCACAGGAGGTTTCTCATCATTTTCCCTTAGCTAGTTAATCCAAGTTACTTGATTCAGGCCTACTGACTTGAACAAATTCTTCATTTTACAGAACTCAACATCAAATAACTATTGACAACTGACAGGGCCATTCCTTTCTTATCATTTTATTTCCTGCTCTTCCACTCAACCCCTCTTTGTTTTTTACCCATGGCTCAACAATTAGACTATGGCAACATTTATTACTTTGTTGTGAAGGTCAATCACACAAAACAAAATTAAACACTTCTAGATAGATGGCTTTATTTACAAATAAGACAAATAGTATGTGCACCCATAAGAATTTCTGATGTGCTGCAAATTGTTTGATGAAATGTATGCCTATTTGTATTGTGGAGGTACTGACAAAAACAGGTTGTCATGTTCATCTTGCTGTTCAAAATCTCTCCAAATCAACTTGAAGACATACATATTCAGTAGAGTAGACCAGAGTTTCTCATATGTAAACCGTTTAAACGTACAAATGCTTTCTGCGGTTATAGTGGCTATACAGTCTTGGTTTAAAATCAACAGCTTGTTTTACTTTGTCATGAATTGGAACTATTGTTCATTCCCATTGAGATACTTTGTTTTTCACTCAATGTTTTGACAACAGTTGCAGCAGGAGACTGAAGGACTTTACGAGAAAGCCTCATTCTGCCGTCTGTGGGGTCCCGTCCAAAATACTTGACCTGTTAAAGCAAAGAATTATAATTTGGACGAACTATATCAACATTCCGGGGATACTTTAATAGTTAAGTGTATTAGAGGATACCTGGATCTGTTGTCCCACCTCAAGCCCCAATGCACTTGGATGCTTTATCTGAAACAAGATTAGATAACGATTTTTGTGCTTAATCATTTCTGCATTTTGGAACATATAAAACAATACTGTTCATCCACAACAGAAAAGGACATCCCTTACCCGTTTGTGGTCCAACTGTGAGTTATGAAGTAAGACAGCACTCATATTTGGATAGAGTTTGACCATTACACCAATGTCCCTGCAGCAGTCCAAAATAGTTGATTAACGAAAGAATAAGTAGTAATTTAAAAAACACCATGGACATTATATTTTGGTAGTGTATTGTTACCTTATTTCAGTTATGGTGGCCGTGTAGACAGCCCCAAACTCCAACTGCTGTTCTTGCTAAGTTTAAAAAAAGGAAAATCAATTATCAATTTATAATTTCATGTAAAGTCTAAAGTTTAAAGTGGTTTACATCATCTTTGCAGATTTCACTGATGAAATCTTGTGCTTCATGCATTGCTCCTGGTGTTGGTGCAAATACTGAAAATGTCTCTTCGTCTATTTGACTTATTGTGACACCTAAACATAGGAAACAACACACTGAATTTGTATTCTTTAAATTATTAAAAATGAATTTTTTTTCATTTGTATTATTCAATAAAATACCTGTTCGAGCTTGCAGTCTACGAAGGTTGTATCCTCCAGGACCAACAAATCTAGCTCTTCTGGAGACAGGCACTCTCACATTTTCTAAAGATACGAAAAAAGATTCAAAAATACAATTATGGAGTTTCACTGACCACATCTGACCTAAGGGTCTACGTGGTGTAATGTAACCCAAATTCTTACCAACAACAGGCCCGTTGTCTTTCCTTTTCTCCCTGGGTTTGGCTATACATTTATTCATGATTCCCAAAATTTCCCTCTTTGCAACTGAGATATGTATAGAAATATTAAACATATTAAAAAGACTGTGATTTTAAAATATAGTGTTAGTAATTAAATCACTCTATTGAACTACCTGTTGCTTGCTGGATTGCCTCCATAACCACTTTAAGAGGCAGCCCGGGAATCTTTACATCTGCCTTCAGATGTAAAACAAAATAATTTTTAAATCTAATTAGAAATTATGTAGCCTAAATCTTTGCATCTAGGGTTAAGTCAAATACCTGTAAAGCAGTAATGCCTTTGTTTGTTCCAGCAAGTTTAAAGTCCATGTCTCCAAGATAATCCTCTATCCCCTGCACAGACAACAGTTTTTCAAGAAAGTGTACTAACAAACATGTTAAGTTTCTGTCAAAATAACTTGGACTATAGCATACAAGAATATCTGTTAGCAGTCTGTAGTCATCAATTTCAGATGCTTTTTCTGGGTTAGGTTTTGATATTAGCCCAATAGCTACACCGGCCACAGCTGATGAAATGGGCACACCTGTGAAATGGAATAAACTCATTTGTGTTACACTCTTCTCACTCTTCAAACTCACACAAATTATTATTTGCAGTTGAACAAAGCTTTAAAATATACCTGCATCCATCAAAGCTAGACTACCTCCACATGCAGAAGCCATTGATGATGACCCTGAAACCATACACAGTAAATATCTGTTAATTTTGGTGAGAAAAATGTTTGAACACTTACCATTAGACTCAAGAACTTCAGCTGTAACTCTTATTGTAAATGGGAAATCTTTAGGAATTATTGGACGTAAAGATTTCTCAGCCAAGGCACCTGAAAATAATAGTATAGAATTCATCATGTCACAAATTCAAACATTTCCAACATAAATATGCAAAACACAAACCATGGCCGAGCTCTCGTCTGTTGAGCCCCCCCGTCCTCCCAATCTCATTAGTTGCATACGGCGGAAACTGTTAGATTTAAATGAAAGAAGATTTACTTTTTTCCATTGACCAAAAGATGGATAACTGAGCACATAAAGTTACTTACCTCATAATGGAGCATAAAATTCTTATCTTTAATGCCACTGAAGTAATAGCAAAAATACAAATTTTATATAAATCACATCTGTATAATACTATCAATTAAAATACAGTAAAGATACCTTAAGGCTGTTGTGATGAGGTCAGGTTTAACACTCGATTCTAAGGAATCAAAAGTGACACTGCAAAGGACCTACAGTAAAACAAGAATTTCCTGAAATATTACTATATACAATCCAAAAACACAACCCGGCCCCGGATAAGCGGAAGAAAATGGATGGATGGACAGACAATCCAAAAACTATATAAAAACATTTATATAAATAAAATAGTGAAAAGAGACCATAACCATAACTGCAACCATACCTGTGTCTGCCCCCTCTGGAACAGAGCAGAACCATGAAGTGGTTGAAACAAGTCAACATCACAAGAAATATTTCTTAGAGCTGTCAAATCTCTCCCATCACACCTAGGAGAGAAATAATAACAAATATTAAAATTATATTTATTTTATCTATTTGAAAAATAAATGCATAAATAATAGTGCATAGTAGTATATAACCTACCTCTGATATTCATTCAAAATCAAATTGCGAAATATTTCTTTGGTAACAACATTAAAAGATTCTATTATTTCAAATGGCTCTGCTTGAGGAAACTTTTCTATAAAAGATGCAAAGTGTCATATTACAAATGTTAAAATATTTTTACTGATGAATATTGCATAATGTGTACCTTTTAAAATTTCCTCAGTCTCTAGTCGGATTTTGTTAATGCTTTCGTCCCTAGAAATCTAAAAATATTTGGGTAGAAATATATACTATTACATATTCAAACAATTCAATACAAATCTGTAGTAGGTGTTTTACCTTATCATGGCTATGGTCCCTAAAAACAGCAGAAATTCTTTCAGCTGAAACTCTACAAAAAAAGGATATAATTGAAAAGTTGTAAAATTGCTTCCCATTGAGATATAACTTAATAAATGTCAAATCTTTGTGTAAAGGAATATGATCTTACAGATGCACTTGTTCCACCATCTCGTCTGGGGCAGAGAACATTTTAAGAGGTACCCGTTTGGAGATCTTCCGCTCTCTTGCCATCTGTTGAATAGCCTGAATAATCTGCTGAGTGTGTTTAACTCCTATTTTCACAGCATGGCAAAAGTCCTGCTGTAGGACATTCTCAGCGGATGCCTCAATCATCACTAAGAAAAGAAGTGCAAAACCAACATGATTTCTGTCAATTAAACTAACTCCATGTATTAATTTACAAGGACTCGCAAATGTTTCATACCAACTTGACTGCTTGGAGCTCCAGCCACGATAAGGTTAAGCGTGCTGGAAGTCATCTCTGCCCGCGTTGGGTTGATCAGTAACTCCCCATCTACCATTCCTACTCGCACAGCACCTACAAGCAGACAGCAACACTTAAAACATCACTTCTATTGGCTAACTTTAGTGAGGTGTATTGATTTTTTTCTCACCAACTGGCCCATGCCAGGGGATGTCAGACAGTGCCAAAGCAGCAGAAGCTTCAAGAAGAATTATAGTTTGGTAAATCTATTGCAAATCTTTGTTGAGAATGTTAATAAAAAGCGCTAACCTCCATTTATAGCAAGCACATCAGGGTCATTGACACCATCCACAGCCAGCAGATTGCAAAGAATCTTAAAAGTGAAAATAGTCCAATTAACAAAAATCTACTTTAATTGTAATTAGCAAAAACACTGTGCAATGAAGGCATAAAGCTCACCTGTGTATCATAAAAGTAACCAGGAGGGAACAGTGGTCTAATAGAGCGATCTGAAAGAAAATAAAGGAATTTACCAAGATATTTAGACCTCAAAGAAAAAATCCCTTTAAATAGCATTATCCTACCTATTAATCTACTGGTCAGGATTTCATTATCTGTAGTTCCAAGCTCTCGTCTCAAATAGTTTGTGGGGATTCTCCCTGCAGCTGCTGCTTTCTGTCTGTAGTCTACCTGTACAGGTAAGAAAATATAGTCTGCTGTTAATGTGTACCGAGTCTGTGAAAAAAAAAAAAAAACGCTATTATGTATCTTAGTAACGGTAGAAATATAGCATACCACAAGAGGCATAAACTGAGATGGGGATGGCTTGACTTTGCTCACAGCTGTCACCATTACAGAGGTATCCCCAAGCTGTGGTAAGAAAAGGTAAAGGTTGTGAATGGTCAAATATAAGTATGCACCAGGCAAGTCGCTGTTACATGCATATTCATATGAGTTTTGTTATGAGCCCATTGTACCTGTACAACAGCAGACCCATCAGCAAATCTGGCAAATCTCCCAGAGGAGATCTCAAGCTTCCTATAATGAAGTTAAAGTTAGTTAATGGGAAGCTGTAATATGCACAATAAGTGCGTAAAAGCAAAGCACAAATATACTCACTTTGCACCAAGGTCCACAGTAATTTTTTGGGGGTGTGAGTGGCTGCTATAAACACTCTGATGACATAACCGGACACAAGGCCGGGCAAACGAATGCCCGAGTCGGAGTAAATATCTCATATGTGCTATTTTAAAAAGCCAGGAATCTTTAAAAAGTCCGTACACCCTGTAAGTGCTTTCAGAGTTTCATTTCACGCGTGGGGGCTTCCATGACAGTACGTCACATGTGCGGAACTACGTCATGAGACTAGGCTTTGTGATTGGTTCACTAAATGAGCAAAAAAGTTTTTTTTTTTTTTTTTACTTTTTACTTTATTATTTTATTTTTTCATATAACGGCCCACAATGATGAAAGGTAAAGATATAGTTAAATAGCATAACATTTATGCAGGTCTACATATTATAAAAATGTGAAGAACTACCGCTAGATGTCACTGCTTTCTTAGAATTAATCAATTGGGCTGTAACGTTTTTCAAAAATTGAATGTTTATAATAATTAAATAAATGAAAGAAAATTACATTTTATTTAGAATTCCAGTCAGACTTCAACCTATCTGGGTCCATGGTTCAGTCCTACATCATGTGGACATCATGTAAGCCACAGTAAAATGATGAAAAAAAACCAAAAAAAAACTCGTGGTTGTCATAGCAACAGATGAGCATTAACACCATTATGTACAGAATACATTACACAGCCTCATGTAATTGCAGGGCAGAGCATTCACAAGCAGACACAGTGACACACACCCCCTCATGTTCATTGTCACCATGGCTAGGTTACTTACTTGATGTAGTATTTTGTTCCCATAGCTCTGGAGATTTCATTATTTGTCTGCAAGGCTCTTGACAATTAGTGTGTAATGAACCACCAGTGTGATAGGATTAGCACTCCTGAAGTTAGTATGCAGCAACCCCTATAGCAGGCCATTCTTTTGCATATAACATAGTGAAAGTATTGGTGATACATCAAGTTACTTGGCATGTATCCCCATATAACTATTTGCTGATAAACAAGGAAATGCCATTTTTGCATGTTAAAATGCTTTGTTGTTGTTGTTTTCTTCCTCTGTCGGGGTCAGGTTTATAACATGGAAATATACAAACAATACACAAAAAGCAAAATGATTTAACAAAACATGACTACACTATATTAAGTAAATTTTATTTAATTGTTAGAAGGACAACAAAATAACTCGAACTCTGATTTTGCATGTCTGTGTTCTATCAGTGTACTGTTCTCAAATACAATCTTTCATGTTTTGTAGATAGAAGATCAGAAGCTGTCTTTAATTCTTTCATAAAAGGCCTTCACTTAGGTCGCTCTGACACACAGTAGAAAGCAGCCAGTTAAAATTCCTGCAGCGCTTTCACCAACATGAGTGTTTTTCAGGAATGCTGCGGTGGCTCTGCATAATCCCTGAGTCATACATAAAGGCTTTTTTTTTTTTTCAAAGAATTAAGAACAAGTCAGGATAATTATGTTCAGTGATGATTATGACACTTTATAACTTTGGTACATCTCCACTTATAAACCATTTGTTATTTCAACTACTGTGAGCGAATTTCATATAACTGTTTTATTGAATAAATTAACTCTGTACATCAACTCTATTTCTAAAGCTCTGGCTACTCTTCTGCACCTTTGGTTGTCAAACATGTTGAGCAGAAAAACAAGCCACAACAGGTGCAGTATTGTTAGATAGACTACTGCAGGCAATGGCCCCAAAGCTGTAGCATCACAACAACTGTCATGATGAAAATGCAAATAATTAAGCTATGTTGTTTTTGCTTTTTAAACCAGTGTCTCAAGAGGCTGAGGAACTGCATAAGCTTCTGAGTCCACAACAGTTGATGTGGTTTTAACCTGTCACTGGACCACAAACTCTTTGGCCTTAAATGGTGACCCTATTAATCATGTGTTGATTATATGTCTTTTATTAAGGAAACTAATCTTTAACCAATTTACTGAGTGCGGATACAAGCAAAACTGCCAAATAGCCGACAAACCTGAATTTCAATAAGAGCTGAACAATGGGTCTAGGCTTTTTGTAACAGCCAATACATGATGAGGTGGATGTATGTGAAATCCTCTAGTCATCTAGGACTTGGTAAATTAAAAGTCACTGTGCACGTTTTCTAGATTTGATGATTCATCTGAATCCGGGTGCTGTACCTGGAGTTGTGTTTGTTTCATTCACACATATAATGAAAATAACCACCACATGACATTACAAGGTGGAACAGAGCATTTTGAGCTTTGGAGATGTAAACAGACTAATAATAAAGGATTACTCAACATGTATGAATGAAATAAAACATAACTCCAGGTAACAGCTTTATAACACGATTTACAGCTCAGAAGAATCCATTTTGTGTAATACAGGAGCTTTAACGCAGAACTTTAATTTGAATAAACTAACATTTTGGGCTAAATAAAGCACGTTTTCCTAGTTGGTCATATAGTTACCAACATATTAAATAAAGAAACTATATATATATTTTAAGTCATATACTAAAACGGCAAGGATGCTGTGATGATTGCCCTATTTTCTTTCCTGATGGGAGGCGGAGGCAGGGAGGCGGTCCTACGTGTCCTCCAGTCATCCTCAGAAGTGCCTCCTCCGTCTGCACCATTTGAACAGAAGCTGAGCAACGAGGGCGCACCGCAGCCGGCTCAAAACACCTCTAATGAATTTATTTTACGCCGCACATGGACTATAAAACTCTGAACGCTTCGAAATGGATACTTGCGTTTATTTTGACATTGCACTGGAGTATTTTGATTAAGGATAACCCCGCGAGTGTTCAAATCTTGTCTTTATGCCAGTAACGGTGAATTTCAGTGAGCCGTGGTTTGTGGAGAAAAACTACACCTAGGTTTTGGTAAGGTCTCTATGAACTGTGTCTAGGTATTTGTATTCGTGGGTAGAAAAATAAGACCAGAACTACTTTTAGATCCTACCCTTGACTAAAATGTGATTCTTTGGCTGTCTGCGCGCTAGACAGACTGAGCCACCCAAATACCCGCTGGATACTCTCCAAAGGAACGTGGATTTACTACTTCTCAAATCTTTACTACGAATACGTGGGCGCTGCTTTCTGGGGCTGTTTGCCAAAATGACCATCGCGTTCATAAAGTCGAAGAAGCGCGAAGACTGAAGAATCAACCCCATAGTTTTTCAAATCCGAGCACATTTTCCAGATCAGCTACACTGGAAAAAATGGAAAGCGAGGTTTTCACCCCTTTGCTGGAGCAGTTTATGCTCTCACCCCTTGTCTGCTGGGTAAGCCCCTATAATTAGCTTCTATAAAATTAATTAAACACCTCTACCTCGTGAATTGCACCATTATAGGGAGGATTGCTGACTCTTAACACGCATTTGAATTGTGTCATCTGTTTTCAGGTGAAGACTGTGGGGCAGCTTACAGTGACAGATGGGACCAAATTGTCGGAATATATTGAATTAGTGGACGGGATTTACCTGAACGAGATCATGTTGGAGATGTGAGTAATTTGACGCTTTGATAAATAGATACTTGCACATAATCATAATATACATTGACCCAATAACCCACAAACCCTCCTGTTGTACTGACGAATGAAACTGTCTTTGACTTTTTTACTGTTTAGGCAAAGACTTTCTATTTAGTGTGTCCCAGAGGTTTGATTGAGTGACTATTTGAATGCAGAACAATACAAATAGACCTTGTGTATGCCAGTTCACAAACAGTTGGAAATGTGCAGCTGGGATCTGTGTAGTACTCCAAATCATCCATTACATTTGAATGTTTTCCTGTATGCATATGTGTGTTTGCGTATGTGTGTGTATGTGTATGTTTCCAATCTGTTCTAACTGTCAACTGCAGCAGACTCCACGACACCCCGCCCCTTGAACTGCACCACTCACTGTTCCTTCTGTGTTGGGAATTGGACTAGACATGGTATTCATTAGGCAGACAAGACTGCGAGATGTGTGAAGAACAAGGAGATGACAGGCTTGATAATATTCCTCTTGATTCTTTGTATAACATTGGACCAGTTTAATATGGTGATGGAGGAGTTTCCTTTGTCTGAATCCAGCATGCTCTTTGCCATAGGTTTTTCACCAATGCCAAAAACTACACTGTCAGCATTTGTGACATGTGCAGTCTGTCATGAGATTGTCACATTCAACCACTCATGATGGATACAACACAAATCACATTCTTTTGGATACCTACATGTAGTTTTGCGGTACTTTTTTATTGTACAGTGATGCTGGATCTTTTTTGTGGTGATTTTTTTTTTTGGCTACAGGATAAGGTTTGAGCTGTAAAAAGTTGAATGAATAATTTCTATGACACATTACAGATGCAAACGAAGTACTTAAGTGTTTCATTCTGCTATTTATTTATTGAAAATCATGTTTTTTGTTTTTTTTTAACAATAGTGTACATTTAGAATAGTTTTGTGGGTTATTGTGTGAGTGACATAGACTTGTTTGAATATTAGCATTTATCGTCTATATTTACCTAATTTGTTATTGTGACCTACAAGAAACAATGAGAAAAGAAATATATACTGAAGGGCTTAACATGGCCCAAAATACATTATGGGAACATGGGATTCTGCGAAATGGAAAATTCCTAATTGAAGCTGGAAAATGTCCTTTGCAGCTGTCGCATTTTAACACCAAAACCAGCAGCAACTTCACCGCTCTGGCTGTGATGTTCTTGGCTTGAAATTTAATAGGATTTCTGTCTGCAAATAAAAGTTAAGGCTCAGACAGGGATCTTTGTGTATGACTGTGGAGTGGTACAGTATGGAGCAACCAACATGAGGCTAGAATGAGCTGCTCCACTGGTCTCCTGACAGGATGTTGAGGATTGCCAATCATTGTGCGTGTGTGTGTGTGTGTATCTGTGTGTGTGTTGGTTCCTTGTGTGCCTGTGTTTGGTTTTGGAGTCATGCAGCTGTTGATGGCTGTCTTGCCCAGGCTCCCTCCCACACAGAGGGCCTACAGTATTACAGGAGGGTGGCTATGGTGGTGAGACTGCATGCTCTTTGTTTCAACTCTTCTCCAAAATGTGGTCACTTCAAATATGGCATATACAGTTATATTCATAGTCTGCTCTAGTTCCTGTGGAAGCCTAGCCTGTTGACTATAACAATACTGAGTGTGCCTCTTTTTATTCAGCAACAATATATTTTGTCATAATATAACAATGGTATGATTTGGTAGCATGCGCCGTGTACTAGAACAACTCAGACTCATTTTTAATTTATCCAAAGTCATCCAAAGTCATTTTGCTTTGTATCTTTCGCTCCATTTCTGGTCAGTCGGCTGTCCCATCTAATCTGAGAAAATGCTTTAGTTGTATTGAAACTAAACACCAACACCCATGTTTGAACAATGTCAGTAATTTATTTTCTTGGTAAAAATCAATTCCATTTTGAAAATACATGTTATTCTGAAAATATCTGTCTGGCAAGGACCAGGGGGCATGATGGCAGACAGACTGGCAGTGTTGAGAAACACAGGAGACCCCAGGATTATTTAACGGTTTACTGAAGCCCAGATGGTACTGCCCCTCCCTCTTATGCCCCCTGTACGGTGACATAACACTGCCAATTAGATCTCCTCCTCAGTGCTGTCACACCGAATCGGTGTCCACGTGGCAACCATGAGTCCAAGTGTCCTATTGGATGTTCTGCTCTTCTGCCCAGGCTGGAGATGCATGCTGGGCTGTTGGCATTTTGGTAAACCAGTCAGACTGTTTGGTCCCTTTTGGTTCTTTTGTTATTGACTCAAGTTTCTCTGTTATCCAGGCTTTCAATCCGGCCAGTTCTGTCATCCCTGTAGTTATGTCTTTTTATACTGCAATCTGTGACTGCAAACTGAGTTGCCTCTTTGGGATACATGTTTTTTTTGTTTTGTTTTTTTCTGAACCGAACGATGTAACTTTTCAGTTACAATAATTTTAATTTTATCACACTCTCCATTTTTTTCATATCTTTAGTGTAATGCCAACAAGACAGTGTTGTTATTGCAATGATGCATCATATTCAGTGTGAACACAAAAGCACAGTGCCTCTGCCAAGGCTACTGGATCAGCTGTGTAAGCACACAGTCACAGGAGGCAGTCTACAATGCTGCTGTCATCATGTTCTTGTATTGACAGAATTGGCTTCTCTGCAGCTGATAAAAATCATAAGTAATATTCTATGGAGATATGAATGACTGATTAAGCAGAAGACATGCACAAGGAAGCATTGACCTTTTAGAAACTTTCCTTTGAGTTCACCTTGTATTTATACTGGGTAAAATGTATGGTTTAAAAAACAAAAAAACAAAAAAAATAAAACCTGTTGCTGTGTCCCTGCTTTTGCCACCAGCCCGCAGATTCTTCCATTGTTTTGAGTCTTTGTTGACTTTGTTTAGTCCTTGTAGGCTCCAAAAATATTTGAAATTCCAGGCCCAGATGATGAGAGGATTCAGAGGCTAAGAGAGAGAACTTTTTGCTTTTTACCATGGATATTTTTAAAACCCATTCTGATCAGATCTTCTTGCACTAGACAAAAATATAGAAGACAGGAAGCAGCAACTGTGACCTTCAGCATCATTTGAAGGGTCATGTTAATGTGAGGTACTAACATTAAATCCAAGGACACTCCAGATCCCACAGGGAATCACAAAACTATTTAACAGAATGTGGAAAGGTCATTAAAATCATCCTCAAGTCCTGTTTTATTTTTTAAATCAAGTTTTATTTTTAAAATCTGTTTAATTTTTGAGTTTGTAAATTTGCTTATATATTCTGCTTGGTGAAATTTTTGTAACATTATGAGAAAACTCTACCTTGTATGTTATCTGAATTTTATAATGAGTAATTTTGTCACAGTTAAGTGGTGACTCTTCCATAGCAATGTTTACTGTTCCTATAGTTACTGGTTGATGAGTGATTGTAGAGCACGCACTGTACACTTTTTACCCAATCAGTGTAGAGGATTTGACATATGGAGGTATAACATTGATGGTAAATAATGTCACTATGACGATGCAGGTTAATAGGTTATTGATTTGGTAAAAGAGGAAGCTGTGGTCACTGCTGCTGTCATTCATGTGTTCAGAATTCATATGTTCAGATTGTGGTAGCCTATCACATGCATTTTACTTTTGTTCTTAGTAAGTTTGTTGTTTTTGATGTAGAAAGGGCCTAGTGAAGTCCATGTAATACAGTGGTCAGGTCACTTCCAGCCAAGTGGCAATAATAAGTTTAGCCCAGGTCCCTATGGATACAGAGACAGAGGAATGGGAAGAGGCCCTGAAGAAAGAGAGACTGAGACAAAAGCAGGAGAGAAACAAGGCTGTGAAAAGCCAGGACAAGGAAACTAGCCGATGGGAACTACATACCATTGGTCACAATTTTACTGCTCTGTTTGTATACTCGCGTTCTCATGAGAGGCACAAAAGGGGGCATGCTTATGTCAAAACCTAGAACTATGTTTGTAGGTTTTCATGGTTTCAGTTGTTGATATAAAAGAACAAAATCTGACAGCTCTATGATAAAAACTATTAAATTTTTTCTCACACTTCTCATAAACTGTGGAATTGTTTTGACAAAGTCCATTATTTCAATTGTCATGAGCCAAAAAATGCTAAAGTTTTTGTTTGTGTTTTGTTAAAGGTCCTATGTTGACTCTTGTGAGCTTTAAACCATGTTAGAATGTTGTTACCTCCTCCTTTGAGTATCCCTATATTATTAGTCTGTCTACATCCCCAAAGCTCAAAATGCTCTGTTCCACCATGTGATGTCATTTAACGGTAGTTTTCAAGTTAACAGTTACCTTTTACCTTTAATTCTGTAGAGACAGGCAATTCCAAAGCTAAAATTATCCAAATGATTTTAGAGAAGTTTTAGGAGTTTAAACATTGGAGCACTTCCTGTATTACCACATGACATCACAAGTTGGAATAGTTTATCAGTTTGATAGAACAACTCAACCTAAATATACAGGGTTTGTGTGTTAAACATGTGTGAATGGAACAAAACACAACTTCAGGTATGTTTTGATGAGGAAACAACATTATAACATAAAGCAAATGGTGTAATATGGGTCCTTCAAAAGTCATGTCTTGGAAGTCTGGACTAACTACAAGCGATAAAGTGCATTCACTGGGCTAACTGCCAAACTTGTTTTTTTTTGCTAGTAAGTTACGCTAATGTTTTATTCACATCATTACTTCTGTACACATCATTGAATGAGTGCAGTCATCGCCCCTGTGAGGATGTGGCTTAATGCATTTTGCTAATCACGCAGTAAAACATTTTCTACGGGAATTGCTGTTGACTCCCCATGAAGGTTTGTAATTAGTTTGTTGCAGCAAATCCTAAAATCTCCCTAATAAACGCTCCTCCCTTCATTGCACAGAGAATCATTTTTTGTAGGCACACTCCAATGTTTAGACAGTGTGGCTTATTGGTCGTATCTCTAACACGTGGCCTGCATTTCTCTTCATGATCCTCCTCCGTGCTGTGTCCGTGTGTGTGTGTGTGTCTGTGGGCATGTGCGTGGGCATGTGCGTGGATGCCCAAGCTGACTTTAATGTAGGTTGTCAGATATAGGCTACCACTACTCCCCAACCTACTCAGCCAATCAGGGAGCTCGTAGATGAGAGGAGAAAGCGCAATGGCCCCCAGGCTTCAGTATAGTAATGTTACACAGAGCCTATTCACAGCACTGAAGTGGCGGCTTATCGACTTGTCTGGCCAATTTGCAGACTGTCTGTTTTTAATAGTATTTGTACATTTTAAGTCCTAATTCTCCTGTATCAGCAGGATCGAGCAGGAAGGGGGCATATCTGGAATCCCCTTTCTTATTATCACAATCATCGGCGCTAAGCCCATGTATTTAGACGCTTACTGAACTGTAAAAGGAGGCGGGAGGGGGGGTAGATATATGCATGCTTATTGAGCCAGGGGAAGACATCATAATTTGTTTTTTATGGCCACTATGTTTCTGTATGGCATGCTGAATTAGAATTGTAGTGTGGATGGAGTACGACTTAAGTGTTGTAGTCATTCTCTGTCACGTACCTTTGACACCCCATTGCCCTGCTCACTCTGATAGGATTACAACGTCCACAGTGCTTTTTAATTAAGGGTTAAATGGACCCCCTACCATGGATCCTGAAAGGGGGCTGTGGGCGGGACATGTGACCACTCATTCAGACCTGCATTAAAAGCAGCAGTGTCTCAACCTGATTAGCCTGATTTTAAGGGAGGGAGGGTGAAAGGCTAATTAACACATCCACTCTGCAGCCAGACACAATGCTTTTTTTTCTCCATTACATTTATCAACTGTACGAGTACGCTATATGTAGAGCCAGAGAGTATGGTATTGTAATTAGGTCTGTGCTATTCAGCTGGAGTCCCAAGTGACCATTGACTGAACTGTATGTCCTTGGAAATGTAAAGTCCTTCACCTTTCTCCTCTTTACCAGTTCAAGAAGTGAGGTTGAATAAAACATGTTATATTATACAATAAGGTTTATAAATGAAAACACAACAGTTTCCAGACAAGTGCCCAGATCCAGACGTGTATGCATGACTTCACATGTACTGCTGCACATGCGACTCTCCTTCCCCCATCTTGGTGCAGGTTGACCCCCTTATATAGGTCATGCAACATACATGCTTTGATCTATGTAGCAAAAGATTATGGCGTAAACTGCTAGCCAATGTCTCTCTGTGCCATTTTTTAAAGGGTTATTTTAGATAAACTGGGATCAAAATGCTGCTTCCCTTTTTACTCATGTCTGTTAATTCATTGGATTGTAAGTGTTCTAGTATTTTCCATGGCTGAAGCAATGTTTTCTTTTTGTATTTATTTTGTCAGACAATAAACAAAGGATTGGCTGTAGCGCTCCTAACTCAAAAGACCCAAGCTTATTATTGATGATTATTTTAGTTTATTCTTAGACCATACACAAATCCATTAATCTTACAATGAAAATGTGATCTGCAGCAGATTTAGTTGCTGCTACTTTCTATGTGCAATCCCTAAAAATCTAAATTAATAAAGATTAGAAATGACAGCATGATAAAAGTTTTAACCCACTTGGTCATTTTTATTGCTTACAAAGGGAAACACAATAAAGTCACTCGCAAATAGTACAGCCCAAAGCACATATCTCATCTTTATCAAACTAAACCCACTTAAACCTCACAGATCCCAGTCAGTCTGAAGTTGCGGCTCTGTCATCATCTCGTTTGGGAGGTCTGGGAATTGCCCTGGAGCATCTGTAGTTATCAAAGGTTACAAGTCATGCCCATATTCTGAAGCTTAGTGTTCATGTTCCCTTTTTTACGTAGAATTCCTGTAAAACTACTAAAACCATACTGTCTACAGTTACTGTTATGTAACTGCAATGAAATTGGAATATTTTTGAGGTAGCCATGACCTGTACATAGACAAAATGTTATGCATTCCACAGATCAGACACATGTTTTGACTGTTGAATTAACTTTTCTGATGGAAAGGGTTTGTATATTTATGTAAAACTATGCTAGTAATCTTAAGAGATGCAAATGTGATCTTTGTTTGTATGTGATAAGAACGCCTGAGCATGTGGTGCATGTGGTACTGTGTGAGAGGAATTTCTATGAGGCTCACTAAAACATGTTGACACCCGCGATATCTTCGCTCCTTATGCATGCTCTTTCTAAGCCCTCGAGACTAAAGACCATTTAACATTATACTTATAGGAATGTAAAAGGGAATTTTCCAAATTATAACAGATATGCAAGCTGAATTTTATGTAGCTTGTGATGATTTTTCCACTCACACTCAACTTAAGGGTGCACTGTGTAGCTTTTTGGTTGGGGTTTTGTCATCTGCTTGTTTCTCCAGCAGAAAAGTTGCACCTTTAACTCTGCAGGTTAGATTTACAGGCAACCTAGTGCCCTTATGTAAACTGTAAAGTCTCTTGGCACTCTGATGTGAATAACTTAAACCAAACTCTACTCTTCGTAGTCAACATTGTGCCAAACTGAGAAACTAAGATCAAGTTAATTTACACATCAGTGTCTGGAAATATCTTTTGCTTTTGATTCACAAACATTGTCCAGTTTATTCGTGATTGTCTGCATCTTGTAATGAAAATTTGTGTATTTTTCAGAAACCCCAAGGCCACAGTGCAGAGGACCAACAAGAAAGTAAACAATGACTCCACACTTCGGATCCAGAATCTATCCATTCTTATCAGGCAGATTAAATCCTTTTATCAGGTAAGGTCTCTTTGAACTCGTTTATTGTTGCTTGCTATTGAAAAATGTGTATTGTGCCTGGAAAAACATAACACACATTTATAGAGTCTGAAAACATAACATAACAAAGATCAAAAATATAAATCGTAATGATAATTTCAAAATAAGTAGCAAATATTATACAATAATCGCTAGTGTTTATATGTAATGATACGTGGAGTCCCGGAAAACACTGTGTTAGTAGTTTAGTTTCACTACTGTGAAATCAGGTGGAACTGTTGGATTTGGATTGAGTTTTTATTCTCTTGTACTTGTTATTTGTAACATCATTAGCTGAAGTGTCCATAGCTGTGTTTGTAGCTATGCAAACCTTACTATTTCTTTTAGTGTAGATGGCCCAAGTTGTATTCGAACTTTCTTCCTTGTTGGACTGTAAATGGAGCCTGTGTTCACTCAGTACATGTTTGTAAGTAGCAGCTGACGTGTGGCTGCACGTGTGATGTGGTCCAGTGACTCTTTCCAGATGCTGCTTTGGGCTGAGTACAAACACAGAGAGGTGACACTTCAGAAAGACCCAGATGTGGTTCTGACTCTCTTGCACCCATGAATAACGGCACTTCACTGAATGTTGGTGCAGTATTTTTTCTCAGATGAACTCTTGTGGTGAAAATTCCATTAATTTTACATGGGTATGTGAAAGCCTTGATGTAACATGTTTTTACATTGGCTCACAGTGAGCACCATGCAGGCCCTTATGAAGCGTGCTGTGTTTTCACAAGATGACTTCAATCACAAGTTCATCTGATAGCAACAGTCTTATCTCTCAGTGGAGCCCTTTTACTGCTCATTATCAGACAGTGAGGAAGTTTAAGAAATTACTGGATAACAGCAAAAAGAAATTCACATAAATTAGAGAAAAAACATGATACACAAGACATGAACATTACAGTAAATTAGCTAATCAATTTCACGGCAGTTGCTTTCTAGTTTGAGCATGAACAATTGTCAATCATTGTTTTTGGCAACTATTCAGAATTATGTGCAAATGTATTTGGAATGTTTGGATAATTGACAGTCTTTCAACAGGGATGCATGCAACAAAGATTATAATTCAGTATTTTTTGTTAGTCATAGTGTTAACAAAATGTAATCCCAGTGAATGAACATGAGTCATCCTGTCTATAGTTCAGTCTGTGATGGTTGGGCAGTTGTGCTGACAGAGAGAGAGATTTCCCACACTTCGACTTAGAACTCTGACCCATATCCTCAGGGCTGGTGCTCAAGCCAAGATGAAGGGAGTTACTCATTAATATATTAGAACTTTGCATAGAGATAGTTGAATTATACATGTTCTCTACTACTTCTAACATGGATCTTCTTTCACTGCCATTAGGTTTCTTCAGTGACTATGAGCAAACCCTGATAGTTCAAGCTAATGTTCAAATGAAAACCCAGATCTGGTTTTATATGTTAAAATAAAACAAATTCTCAGGCTGTAGTTATTTAGACTTTCTGTAGATTAATTGGGTAATGTTTGTCATTATTAGGTGACTAATTATTGTATTAGAATTAGAGGGATTTATATGGACCCCAGCAGAGGGGGAAAAAACACAGTGAGTTTTGAAAATGACTGGACACTCCTACGTTTCTGTGTACATAGTAAATTTTGCTCAAAATCCTAACAATTTTGAGATCCTCTGCTAGTGCCACAACAAACCCCCATTTAGTCAATTAATCACACGGGGAATGTCTTTAGTCAAGTAAGAATTTCCTACAGCCTGTGGACTACAGCCTTATGTTCTAGAAATACTGTAAAGGTTTAACTATTAAATCATCATTTAGTTTTGCCTCACACACTGGTTACCTACCACCCTATTAATCATCTCTGGGCTATCTTATTGAATACAATGAAACTGTTGTACAGGCCCAAACGGCGGCTCAGTTGGTTCAAATGGCTGGGACTGGGAGAATTATCTGTTCAAGAGTGTTAAGCAGTGATCAGTGCAGTCAGTGGATGATGAGATGATGGTAGACGTTAAGTAACTTGTTGGTCACAAAGGTTTAACTTGCCAAACTACATGAGGTCTTTTACAAATGCTACTTGGTCAAAAGCACAGTCTAAGAAAGCAGTGTTGGTGTGAATACAGCAATAATGCAACAATACCACACTTGTTCTTAGACTGTGATTTGTTAATCCTGTCTTTTTATCCCTGGGTTAGCCCTTTTGTTGAGGACCAGTGAAGACCACCTGCAGACTGACCCTCCACACAGTCACCAGTTGTCTGCCCCCTGGTTGCCCTCTCTGAGACTTAAATGGCCATTGATCATTACAAGTGAGCATTTGAAAGTAGACAGCTTAAGTTTCATTGCAACAGTACTCTCAAATTTGATAGTGTTTTGGCTGGTGTTGCAGATAGAACGTTTGATAGGGACATTTGAATTGACTTGGACTTGGAGAAACTTTATTGATCCACAGGGGAAATTATTTGGACATAGTAGCTCACGCATGTCAATATATTTTAATAACAAAGAGCAAAAGAGTAATGATCTAAATAAATAGCAAAAATAACAAGAGACTGGTGTCAAATAAGGCATAATTATATAACAAGATTTGCCATTGTAAAAATAATCAAGTATATTATCTGAGACACAATAGATTACTAGTATGTAAGTAATGATGTTTTTTTTTTGGTCATATTCCTGTTGCAGACTGTGGTCACAACCAAAAAGCAAACCTATTATTAAATCAAGCTGTTTCTCACTGCTGTTAATATTAATTTGCCAAAAATAGCCATGATATTGATCTTTTATTAAACACTATTGATGTGGTGTTCTCTTCTTGTGGTAACTTTGTCACTTATTGGTTTCACATTTCCGTGGCCATCTGGAGGCAGACAGACCCAGACCCCAGCTAATGGGCTTAGCAGGTCTTTAGGTTACTGTACCGCTCAGCACTTTCTTCATTAACTGTGTTGGAGCTTCACAAGCCCCACTGCTTTTCAATATGTATGTATAGACTGTTTTAAGTGATTGGATTTGTAATGCTGTTAAAAAGGAGGCACCATCTTTCAACCTTTAAATGTTAAAGGCCCTTGCTATATTACACAAAATTGACTCTTGTGAGCTTTAAGACATCTTATAATGTCATTATCTCACCAAAAACATACCTGAAGTTGTATTTTGTTTTATCCACCCATATTGAGTAATTCTGCATTACTAGGCTGTCTGCATCCCCAAAGCTCAAAATTCTCTGTTCCACTTTGTGAGGTAATGTAGTGGTAGTTTTCATGTTAACAGCTCCTTCTTTGATCAGTAGAGATCGACAATTCCAGGCCTGAAATCATCCAAATGATTCTAGTGAAGCTGTATGGATTTTAAAAACACAGTGGAGCTCTTACTGTATTACCACATGACATCACAAGATGGAACAGAGTGTTTTCGGTTCGAGAGAAGAGTGCAACCTAAATATGCTGGATTTGTGTGTTAAACGTGTGAATGAAACTCCAGGTATGTATTTGATGAAGAAACGACATTATAACATAGATCAGAAAGTGGCAAAATATGGGTCCTTATAAAACAGATCTGCAAACACAATCAAGTGTATTTTTTTTTTCAAATGGAATAATTATGTTCTTTCATGGGAGTACTACATAACATGAGTATTTTTTTTCTGCTTCATCACTTTAAGCTGTGGAGATTGTGTAGGTGGAATTACTATGTCTAGACTAGCTTTGATTTCCCACCGTGGTGTATATTTCAGTGAATTGCTGTAACCACATGAGACAATGTATTGAGTTTTAATGTTTAACCTATAGGCTCTTTCTGTGTGAGAAAGCTTCAATCCTGTCCAATAGGATATGACTTTTCCGGTTACTTATTGTACTCCAAATACTAAAGTCCACTGAAAACTCTACTTTTCGCTCTCAATGGTCAGGCCAAATATAACCCAGGCCTCTTTTTAATTTAGCGGCCTTGGTCTGGCATTCCTTAGCAGAGTAATACAGAGGAGCCCAGACCGGACAAAGACACATCCTTTACAACTTTATTTGATTCGACTTGAGAGACACCTTTTTATAACATTTTTTAGTAATATTATAAAAGTTTCTCTCCCCAGATTTGAAGCGATCCTGTTCAAATTGAGTATTGAGTTTTTACAGATAGCATTTATAATTTTTTGCATGCAGAAACTGATGACTCATGAGCCCTGACAGTATATTTTTTAGGGCCTATTTTTAGGAAGGTTTTGTATATTTTTCCCAAATTATATGATTTGAAATGACTACAAGCTCATCCACAAACCTGTTTTACTACAAAATGGATATGAGAGCTGTGTAATCACATTTTGAGCAGTGCTGTCTCCACACTAAACTGTTCAAATAAAGCTTTAGGCATTTTCTTTAGGCAGCTGATTTGCCTAAAGAAAATATTGGCCTCTGCAAATGATTTAAGGCTGGAAACTGATATACTCAACAATCCAACAGATATAGCAGTGTAACTCTAACTTCCAGGCAAAGCAATAACATAATGTAAACAAAGGGATGATGGACTTTTAATAGCCCATATATTTTTAAATTATGTACTGTTTTGCATTAGTGGTATATGTTTAGTAATGCATTGTTTGGCGTTTCATCTTTAGTCTTATCTGAATTGATTATTTTATTGCATTTTCTTTCTTTGAGCCATAACCATGATTTTAAAAGCTGTCTCTGTCCTCTTTTTGCCTGGCATTTCTTTGGGGTGTGGTTTAAAGTGCTGTGTTTTCACTATACACTAACACAGGCCACCATTCATACTTCCCTAGCTTCAGTTACTTTGGCTTTCTCTGGCATCTTTAGCATCTGAGCCCATCTGTGCTGTAACGGCTCTGATTTTAGCACCAACTTTGAACATTTTGCTTTACTTGTGCCCATTACGCTTTGGGGTCAGAGGGTCTTTCTATAGTATTCACATTTCAGCGACTACATGTAACCTTTTCTGTCTGGTGTTGTGCCTGTTTCTTGCGTGTGTGTGTGTTTATAAAT